AACAAAGCAGTTAGCAATTATAGTTCAAAGTAAAACTGCAGGACAAAGAAACAGTAATAATAAAAAAATAATATTTTGCAAGCAAGGAATTCTGATTTATTCTAATGTATAAAAATTAAAGCACTGCATGAATCACAATATACACTTTTTCTCCTCTTCAAATGTCTTAACTACACCTTTTTCTCCCGATAGGCAAGGCAGATTTTGAGTTACTCGTCAGTATGTTAGGCAAAGGTAAGGAGGAGACAAACCACAAGCTAACGAGCAATACCTTCATAGTTCATACACTGCATATAACTCACCAAAACACTATATCCCACATTCTGAGCTCTTGCAAAAACAGGTCAGCTATCAATCTGCATGTCCAAGAAATGTAATTTGTTTTTCTAAACTGTGTTACTTTTTCCCCACCATTGTCCAAGGCTGCAAGAAGGATGGACTCATGTATCTCCCTTTGACTCTCATCTTACACAGAACTGACATTGAAGAAAGTGCCACACTCCAGTTCGCCAGATTCTGAAATTCTCTGACCGCTTTGCAACTGAAAAAAGCAAAAATAGCCAAGGTAGTCTAAAATCACTTAACAATAAACTAATGTACTTGCTTCAAAAGTAAAGAAAACCTTTTTACTAACATTAGTATAAAACTATACAGTAATACGTAGACATTGTGACCATGACAAAAATACAGCTAAATGGTATTTTCAGAATCTGACCTAACTTTATAAAAAAACTAAAGAACTCAGGGGCAAGGCTTCCTAATTGCCACTAATGCTTTCACAGAAAAATCTGAATCCATTTCGTGCTGCTCGGTGTAGTAAACGCGCAGCTGACCACAAATCTTGTACCGGAATAAATTTATCTTTTCTTCCTTCAGGAAAAGGAAGAACCACAATATTTGCATTTAAGGTAACTACTGATTTTTAGCTCTCTGACTGCTTGCTCTGTTCAATTTATTCTGACTCCTAAGTTACTATTACAGCATACTACATTTCAGATAGTACCAAATTTGTTTTTCAGGAAAGCAGTATCTTTTAAATTAATAGGACTAAGTACATTGAAGGTTTATGTTTTGATACACATTTCCTCCTGATAAACTTCTCCTAATTTTAAGCAAAATTAGGTTCAGAGAAGCAGTCATTACAGTTCAATTACCAGCAGCGCTTCTTCTGTTATTTCTCTGTTAACCACGTCTCTGTCAGCCTTTGATATAAGGCATAAGCATATCATGTTAGTGATCCCTCTGACATGGCTTGGCCCAACTTCTATTTGCCAGTCAACGCGTTTACCAACACAGATAAAAACATGTTAGGAGTATTTATAGTTGCACTTCAGTAACACCATAATTTTTTCCTTATTTTAAACACACGCTTAATAAGCCAGCACACTGAATTTTAATGTATTTTCTCCAAGGAAGAGCTGTTACTTTGGACTTCAGAGGAAAATTTTACAGAACGGTTCAAGTATTTCTGAGGCACAGGTCCTGGATAACCTTGATCCTTTCTGCCATGTTCATGTCCAAAACAAACATATGAATCCCCATATGTACCATGCTGATCCTCTACACAGAAATTCCCACCCCTTGTTGACAGCATTAATTGTTGCAGTTGGGGCCAATTCTCTACCATGCACGTGAACTGAAGTCAGACTCTGCTTGCATGGAGAAGTAACAAAATTTGCCCCTTTACGCTGGCAAAGAAGTATTGCAAGAAAACAGAAATAAAAGAAGATCCAAGAAGAGAGGCAGGTCAGTCTTAACATCTCCCGCCAAACATCCTGCATATATCCAGCAGTGGTTACATTTAAAACATTTTTTATTTTCCAGTATCTGGCTTGTATGCTCATGCCCTAGATGCAAGACAGGCAGTGTCACACACGCTTTTCCCCAGCAAGCTAACAAACACAGCTCTCGGCACGTCTTCAAAACTTGCAATACCAGAACATACTACTTTTGCAGTAAATACAGCTTTTCCCACAAATCAAGTTTGGTTATACGTCTCTCCCGGGATAAGACACAGGCTGTGCTGCAAAGGGTAAATACTGTTCTCTCCCTCCCTTGGCTTCTTTCCCCAGTTTCTCAGTTTAAGAGAGCTGGATTACATACCCACTGCTGATGAGTCACATTCTGGGAATATCAGAAGATATTCTTCTTATTTTAATACATTCATTTTACTTTTTGGTAAAGTTTACCATTTAGCAACAAAATTAATTTGCCAATATAGTCAGTCTTCCTGAACCCTATGTCCATACAAATATAGAATACAATTTGGAAACTGAGAAACATTAATTGGAAAACCAAATTAAAACTACTGTCTAGCCATAATTCAAAGACTATTCTTTTAAATAAAGTAGTATCTGTTACAACAAATATCTTAAAAGTTGGCACAGCATTAAAAATAAGCCATTCGGTCACTGTCCAAATTCAGAAATTACACCCTGCACTAGGGAAGCAAACATTTATAAACGTTACCGCTCTATGTTATAAACGTTACCATTCTACAAAGGTAGAGATTCAGCTTATACCTCCTGCGATAAACTTTCCTGAAGTCACACGCACACTAAATGTCATAACTGCACATCTCATATACAGCAATCTGAAACGGATGCTTCAGTTTTCATAACTGAGTTAAATCCCAGCACTCAAATAAACAGTCATACTGCCGCATTGTTTAACACTTTCAATCCACACGCGTGCGGTTTGAGGGTGCTTAGTGCGTTCACAACAGGCAGCAACTTACAGAAAGTACTTAGTATTTCGTAGTATCAAGCACTAATGTCACTTTTGGCAGATTTAAGCAATGTACTGAGCAAGTTTTTCTTCCTGAAAACTTTGTACTCAGGAAGCAGTCAGGAATGATCCAGTATCTGCTTGGCAAAAATGACTATTTAAAGGCAAAACAACATTTTCTGAAGGCAAACTCTGGAAAGTAATTTATATCCCTACTTTCCATTCCCTTTTATTGCAACACATTTTCCTGCCAAAATAATCCATGCAAGAATGCATGACCGAAGGAATCTGCTCAAAGTTCAATAGTATACTGTCAACTCCCTCAGTCTGATATATGACTCCTAATTGAGGAAACTGCCATTTTAAAAAAAAAAAGATTTTAGGAGCAGCTCCAAAGAAAGAGTTAATGAAGAGTAGCTGAAAAAACTGGATATCCAACACTTTGCAAATAGTTTGATAAAAGCTAGCATTTACCATTCAGAAAGACTGAGCCTTTGACTTTTGCAAACCAAATAAATTTAAGTTCTTTACCTACTGTTGATCTAGCACTGGACATCTGAAAGTGGGTAGATTAAATTGACAAACTCCATGCGAACACAGCAATAGTTGAATTATAACTACATGATATCTGCTGTGTGTTGATATAAAGTGTATGTTAAGGCCATGAGAATAATTAGACTTGCTTTGCTAGAAAGAATAAAAATGGATGAAGTCATACTGACTCTACAAAACTGCACTTTTCCAAACTGTAAACTCTATAGTCAAACAATATTTGGACCACCTACACGAACGTTCAGTGGGGTTAAAGCAAACACAGTAAATAAGCACTTACAGATGAACGGGTTCACACCTTTTCCATGTATTTATTACTATACACACAGAAAAAAATATTTTTGAAAACAACAGACTGTATATATCATTTCCTACTGAGAAATTCTACAGTAATGAACGCTTTGTACAGTACCACATGATTGCAGGACTGGGCCATAAATTTGTTTGCTCAGATATGAGCAAAGCTGTAAGCAGTTGCCAGTGCTTGAAATGAAAACTTAAGAGTTCCAAAAATCAAAGTTATTAACTAAGGATTATTTTCCTACGATCCCTCTTCAGTTCTGGTTATCTAATTCTAGGGTTTTCATCCTGTATCTGAATTTTGCATTCAAAACACCACTATGTGGTACACCACATAACAGAGCGAGAGTATCTTTTTCATAACTATCATATTAGCCAATCTATTCTTTTATTACCAGTCTCCTCTCGCAGCTGCCCCTCGAGACGTGTACATGCTGTCACAAACAGCTGAATGACTACGCAGCAAACTAAACTGTTTGATACTCCAGTGGGAAATGACAGTTTACACAGGATCAAGCGCATTTAACCATTGTAACCAAATCCATCTCTGTAGTCAACAAAATTGTACAAGAATGATGTTTGCTCATATTTTGATAATCTGTGTAGATTTCTGTAACTAGCATTTCACGGTTCAACATTTCAGAATTCATTCAGTAGAGGAGACTGAATGAATAAACACCAGAAGTGCGATAGAAGAGGAAATTTCAGTTGTAAAAGAACACTTCAAAACATCCATTAAGAACGTTTGAATTAAAAAAAAAAAAGAAAGAAAAAAGCTATACAGATGCAGCTAGTACAAACTATGCGCCTCCAAGAGGCCAGCCATGACTAAATGCTTGCTCAAAGATACCGTCTGCAAATCTGTGGTATTTGAACAAGCAGTGCAAACAGTTGGTAACTGGTACACGTATCACATTTTGTGCTTTAGGTTCTTCTCTCAGTAGTAAACCTTCAAAAATACATACACACAAATAACACTTTCTTAATGGAGAATAGGTTTCTGAAGGAAAAATGAATATATCCTAAGTGAAAAGTTACATCAAATCTCTCAGCAATTCTTAAGCTGTGTTGCTTGGGGCAGAAATCAGCTTCGGCTGATTTTTTTTTTTAAAGTACACGAACGCATTTACAGCCTTGTCAGGTTTAAAAACAACCACAAATGTTGCTCTGGTTGTCATACTAAGCTTATTTTCGCTGCCCCTGCTCATACACCATTCGCCTTGGTACTCTCTAGCTCTGTAACGTAAGTTTTGTGCCTGTGCAGGAATCCAAGTCCCCTCACACCCAGAACATGAAGACACATGTGGAACAGCAGGTAGCGGATCCAGTACATAACCAGGCTACCCGAAACGGTAAGGATTCACCAGATACGTAATCTCGTAGCAGAGACAAAGCCATGCTTCACTTGACAGTTTGCTTACCTCCCGCAATTCAAGCCTCTGAGCCACGGCTTCCAGACTTTCCTGGCCCGTGCTTTCCACGGATAGTGTGAACTCCACAAATTCATTGTTGAGCAGCTGGATACGAGCCACCAAGCAGCTCTTGCTGGATACTGTATAACGTCGAGTTCGTTTCAATTTTAACCCAAAAGGCAGAGGCATCTTCTTTTTCCGCAGAGATGGTTACTGATAAAAAGGTACCACCACTGGCAGGGGGATGAGGGGAGACAAGCAGCTGCCTCCTCTCAGAGGCCAAGGAGCTGTAGAGTCTCCAAAGATCAACCAGCAGCAGCAGTATCCATTAAAGACAAGCAAGTTTTCCACCAGGGTAGAAGGAGAAGAGGCATCCGCTGGAATCCTAGTGTGGGGCAAACGAGGAGGAGAATATACAAGAATCAGAAACAATTTGACTGAAAGGGTAACTGACGCACGGGGAAACTACATACAAACACGTATATTTTTTTCTAAATCTAAACAGTGTGCGTCTCCAAAACACAGAGCTGTTAGGCATTCAAACGGTGAAACGTGCACCAGAGTTTCTGTTTTTTCCACAGACACCACCAGTCTTTGGCAGGTTAATTTTATTCCTTCACAAGTGAACAATAAGCCTTAATCAAATGTGGCTGAAGTGCCTTAAAAATAGTAAGTATTTCTAAACTGAATCATTATTTAAATGAAAGATCTCTAGGAAATTCGTGCATTTGTGAGCACAACTATTTTCTTTAAGAGCAACACTAGCAATCGAGAATTACTTCCAGAGCAGTGTGCGATCTCAGCCACTGCATGCTGGATTAAATACAAACCCCAACCTCACATAGGATTAAGGGGGGAGGGGGGGAAAGGGGAGAGAGAGAGACAGGAGCAAGAAGAGAGGCATTAACACCTCACATCTTAACCATTTCCCACCAGTCGGTTAAAATCCAATTCCTTTATTTTTTCTTGAATTACAGCTAGTTGTACCATCATCTCCTATGTTAAGCTGCTGTGCAATGTTTTCTACAGCACTGCCCTCACCAGCAGAGTAAGCTAACGATGAGAACAATTTATTTTCTAACTTCTCCCTGGAAAACACGTTTATTCCAAGGGCAGCCACCCATCCTCCACCTTCCGCCAACACCTTCGCGCCGTGGCTCCCGTCAGCTCCATAACGCCCAGACTGAGCCTCCCCCCCGGTCCCAGGGCTTCCTCACCGCTCGCTGCCTGCCCTACGGCACTGCCGCCCTTGGGGGACACCGCCTGCCCCGCCGCAGCGCTCGGGGAGGGGGCCAGCGGGCTCCCCCCCGCCGCCGCCGGGCAAACACCCACCCTGCAGAAAAACGACTCTTTTTTTTGATTTTTTTTTCCTCACTCCTTTCTCAGTTCTTGTGTGCATGCCTAGTTCTGCCTTGGGACCTCTAGTGGCAGCACCACAGCTCCTCAAAACCCATTTTTTCAGGCTGGTAAGCAGTCCGTTTTAAAAAGCGTAACTTGATTTCTGAAGAGTCTTGTAATCATCAGATAGGAATAACATTAATATATTCATGTATTGAGAGAGGCAGGGAAATCAGAAAAACTAATATTCCCAGCACACCTGCTTTTACTCGTATAGGTATAACTATATAAAAAAAGTCCCCATACTACTTGTAGAGATAGACATACCTATAAATTAATATCATTAACACAAGCAAACTGTTTGGATTGAAATTCTCCGACCGGCCTCCATGGTCCCTTCTTTTAAGTATCATGGCAAGGAATAAAGAGAAGCACAAAGAGGCTTAAGGCCTAAATGGGCAGAAAGAGGAGGCAGCATGGCATTTTTCCTCGGTGACATCTTTGCAACCCTACTTCAAAGACTGGCCGTAAGCATGTTTCATGTCCATGCTTCTAATAATCTGGAAGCAGTTCTGCCATTCTACACAATCCTCATCTCCCCCTCCTCCTCCCCAGCAAATATCATCCAAAATCTTAAGCATTAATTACTATGGACTTAATCGGGGTGGGGTGGGGGGGGGAAGCTTGATCTAAACACCAACTAAGATTTTTCTGAGTGCAGCCGCGGAATAAATAACAACTGGTAGCAACAGGTTTCCCTGCAAAATTTAGGGATATGCAAGGCCTCCTTGTTTTATTACTTTGCACATTGATCCTCCAAATCCTACCCCCTAAGAGCAGCATGCAGGGAATGCTCTATAGACGGAGGCTTTTAGTTTCCTGCCCACTCCCAGCAGAATCTCGCACTGGGTTTATTCCTGGCAGTGAAACTTCTGGCTGACTGACCTTAGCTCACTTCCCGAGACCTGTTTTCCAACACATTCTGTGCACAGCTACGCACTTTTTCTTTGTTGCTACAGTTATGAGAGAAAACAAATGATCAGTCTTTTTGAAAGCTGCAGTCAGAAGCACAGTGCTGCTTTTAATCTCTTTTTATGTAGAACACTGAACATGCAAGACTTTCAAACTGTTAGGTCCCCGCAGGACCCTCCGAAAAGTATTCAAAGAGCATGGAAAAAATTCACTAACGGGGGCTGACCGGACAGGTGAAATGCACAAGCAATCTAGTGCTGACATTTGGCAAATCCCAAACCTTTAGTTGTTCCTCTATGCGCATAGGTACAAATGCAGATGTAGGAAGGAAGTTTAAATCAGAATTTTCAGAGTGCCAGGAGCATTCTTAAGGGTATGTTCCACTGTTTGCATATATTGCTCTACTGATTGCCCTGAACAATTTCATCTTAACTCAGTATGTGTATGAAGTAATTTTCGTTACTTCTGAAACACATTTACTACAAGGAAAACTTAAGTAACTGCAGTCCCTCTTACCAAAGGGACTTTGGTATAAAATATAATTCCTGATATAAGACAAAGTACATAAATACTGCAGAATAAAGGGAAGTTTGGGGAATAACAGTGAGGCATCATTCAATAACTTTTATAGCTAGCCATGCACAGTTCTTACAAACAGTGCAGTGCTGCTTTTATTTAGCAGCTGTCATTCTGCAGCGCTAGCTGCTTTCCTATTTGTCTCGTGCATTATTTTAAATTAGTATACATCTGCACTGTTAGGAAGCTACTTCAGCAAAAGGGAGCTATACAGGAGATAGAAATCCAATTGACTGTCTGTAAAATAACAAGCCTTTATTTAGCAGCCCTGGAATTTTCATCCGACAGCTAAAAGCGTCTTCGTTGCCCAAACTTCGTACGTTTACATCTCAACATAAACAAGTCAATTACAAAATGTTATGTTAGAATGTCAGCAACATGGCCGTGACTGAAACGCAACTACTGAGCGCTGTGGTACCTCTCCTCTTTACCTACGCCTCCCACTTCTCCCTCAATAATTAGTATTTTACTCTGCAAAGATTTTAAACACAGTTCGCATGAATGACAGCCTGCAAAATAAAACTGCAGTACGTGAAGGTGAAGTAGGGTTCCTGTTATTTCAAATGCTTAAAATACATACATGTATTTCGGAGGTATTTGGGAAGCCCCAAAATCAGAATACTCTGCCCTCCTCTTGGTTTACCAGTTAATATTTGACTTGAGTCTTGGACTAAAAGCGAGCGCTAAGCGCACATACCCAACTTCCCCTACCTCCAGAAACAAAGATGCATAGAGTCCCACAGCCTTTACTTGTCAAAAAATAAATGCTTGAGACTCTGCAATCTCAAAGTCCACAGCAGAGAAGATCCCCCGCTGTTTTTTTTTAATACCGTGCCTGCTGCTTTCGCATTACCTTTCGCAGCGATCCAAAGACAGGGAGTCTTCTTTCACGTACGCGTAGCTGAGAGACCCCCACAGCGCGCTGAGAGTTGCTCTCCTGGAGCCATCTCATCTGTACTCCTTGCAAACTGACTTATTGTGTTCCTCCTGTACCAAACAGCTGCTCTCTCGGCTAACCCACCTTCTTCTCAGATCGCTCATAGTGAAAACATTCCTCACTTCCTGTCTCAAAAAACTTGCTCTGGATATCATTCCACTGGGTAAAGAGCTGGGGGGGGGGGAAAGAAAATATTACAGCAAAAGAAACCTGTGCCAGCCGGCTCTTCAGGCAGCCTCCCTCATGGGATGCTGCGCTGCACGAGCGCAAAATGGGTTCTCTGGAATATTTTCAAATCGCACGTCCCTGTGTGGCTGGGTGTGTGCATTTAATTTCTTTTCCTGGAGGCGTTCCCCTCGCTCTATCCATGCGGAAGGATACGCTGAAAGAATTAAAGCGAAGGCCCGTATGCTTGTAGCCCATTACCTCAGAGAGTTGGAATGCCTGGCAGGGAGAATGTCAGCAATGAACAGCTGCTTCTCTGGCTACCGGCGCACTGCAGAAATAGGGGCTACAACAAATAGCAGGCAATCCTTGCTTTTTTAATCATATGATCGTTTATTTTAAGCCTTTCCAATTAAAGCGAGTCTCTTTAAAAAAAATCTCTTGCTCTTATTTTTATACAGCTTGGAAATGTTTTCAAGGTTTTATCAGTGCGTGCCGTACAAGATTGCCTCTGCGCGTACATTTGCGTCTGCAGATGAAAACAAAAGTCCTTGCAAAGTTTCATCCCTTAGTAATATACACCGCAATAAAATGCAGACTAAAGACCGATCTTTCAGCCCTTGCTCATAAACACATAAAACTGCCACAGGCGCCAGAAGAAATTATGCTATTAATAAGAACTGTCTTATCAGGCATTAAGTGAATAATATTCAATAAAACTTCAACGCCAAGATCATATGAAGACCACATCTCAGTCCCACAAATACATGGAGACCCGGAAAAAAAAAAATCTGCAATCGTGGCATACTATTTGGAACGTAATGGTTTTCCATATCACGTGAGCCAGGTAAACATATATGTAAGTGTGAAGCAGGTTAAGAATGAGGACAAAGCTAAAGTGAATGTGTGAACGCTGATTCACAACTGTAAAATTTAGAAAGTGTCCTGGTAATACAAAACACACAAACTGCACATGCTACAGTCTGAGCAGGTCTAACTTGCAGATCTACTATGCAAACAGCACGTGACTCAGGAGGACACTAATCTCAGCTGAAATATGGAAGTAATATTTGTATTATGATGAATTCTGAATTATTTCACTTAGATACAACAGGCTTTCCTCTGATCATGAGACTATTTGCTTTTTCCCACTTTTCTTATCACAGTCGTATTTATGATAAGCAGTCTATGATGCCAAGAAAAGAACTCGCTCAGAGGAACTTTACACCGAGGCAAATAAAATAACTTTTAACTGAACTAAACTGATAGCCTCTTCTTGTGGTGTCTGCTATAGGCCAGAGCTGCGGTTACTGTCCTCAGAAAACTGACCAGTACAACGCCTGACAATTCCAAGTCAGGAAGATTACCCTGCTTTAGGTTAGGGTAACAGAGGCAACTCCTCCTATTCCTAAACCATTCATATTGGAAAACAAAGTCTCAATTCTCTCATCTGTTACATTTCCCATGCTAAGCCTCGATCACAGCCACTTCCTGCCTGATTCCCTGCCTGGAAGTTGCATTTATTAAAGTTCTCTTACTTTCCGGTTATTCCTCTCTGTATTCTCCCTCTTCTCATTTACATTAAGGAAAACGCTTCAGCTTAGCAGAGACAGGTAGCCATAGACAATATGCTTCTCTGCAACTTACATTTTCTCCTCTTCAAGTTCACCAAACCTCTATTCCTGAATTCCATTTTATTTCTGCTGCCTTCTGTAAACCCAGTTTGTATCCTAACTTGCTGTTTTTCAGCACTTTCTCCACTTTTCCCGTTCTGCCTCATATTGTGCCCCATGAGTTCTCCCTTAACTGCTTCGCCCCAACTACCGACTCTAACAAATAGTCAGGACAAAGAGGCATAGGTGTCCACGAACACATGGTGATCTCCGATACAGACACATCAATAAGTCGCCCGACTGCCTCATTGCCCACATTGTGCTCCTGATTCTCTCGTTTACCCGCTGGCCGGCTGTCGCATGACATGCAGGCCTAGGAACACCTGCATCTTTTGCCGTACTCTTTTCTTTGCTCTCTTGGTGAACTCTTGTTGGGAGGAAAAGGCTGATGTCCTACAGCTGAGTATTGCAGCCCTTGTCCTGCACTGACACAGAAGAGTTTCTGACCTTGGGGTTGAATAATGCCTGCCCATAAGTGGAGCAGGGATAAGCCTGCTTGGATCTTTTTGATATCTTCCTTTTTGGGACAGTCCTGTTTTCCTTCCATCCTGGTCCAAAGACATGGCTGCGGCGGAGTATTTTAGTCAACAGGGTGGAGGCTGAGGCAGGTGTTCACCTTGCTCCGATTCTGGGAATTCTGAATGGCATCAGGTCTTTACATCAACTAATGGAAAAGAGAGAAAACTGGAAACGAGTCAAATAGCCAGCAGAATCAGTCACCCTGGGGACGGTATGCACGTGTATTTTGCTTAGCCTAGTGAGGAGTCATCCATTTGTGGTAAAAAATACAGGATAGCCCAGAAACTACTGCTGAAAGGATTATTCCCGGGATGCTTAAACAATGAAGAAGCCATGAGGAAAAATACAGTAACTTACTCAGCAGCCACGCAAAGTAATCACTTCATGGACTGAAAAGCGAGGATTCTTCTGATTCTATATGTGATTTTTAAAGCTATTCTCTTTTGAAAAAATTCACTTTATTTACTACTTCCATGTTTTGGTTTAGTGTCTGAAACCTGCCTGGCTTTTAGTCAGTATACCGCGTGTGTATTACATGTTTGAAGACTGTATTTTCATCTGTTTGCAAGATGAATTTTCACCTATAAGGAGCTATAAAATGCAGAATCAAATTCTACTGAATAACTAAGATTACTATATAATTTTCCTATTAGAAAAAACTGGGCGGATTTCCCAGCCATAAGGGACTTCTGAACTTGAAGCAATGAGCTTCAGTTATTACTTACAAAGAATTTAATATATCCTTCTTTCAGATAAGGACCCCTTTATTTGGAATACAATGTTTTTATGAATTTTTAAGTAAATCCATCAACCAGTTGATTAATTAAACTTAATTTGTATTGTGTCCTTCAATAACCACTTTTTCCTATTTTCTCTTGTTCCAGTAATGAACTGACATAACTTATTCAAGATCTTAACAGAATGAAATGTGTCTCTTGGAAGTTACAATTGAATGCGTTAATTAATCTGTTACAAGCTGTACCCCACTGTAACACCAATACATTGTAAGTAGGGTCACGCAAACAGCTCAGATCATTAGCAGTAATTAGTCTAGGCTATTTCAGTATTATGGTTGGTTAACATTAAGAGCTGCGATACAGAAAGAGTTTAATAGGGCTGTTAATAGCAACACTTGGCATTTATTTTACCCAATGCCAGCACACGTTAAGGATCCTGCCGCCGTATGTAATAGCTTTCTATAACGTTTCTACCCACTAAATCAGCACTACTGCACGAAGCAAAGCTGGGACTCTGATGCAAAGGGTAAATGGCATGACTCAAGCAGGGCTTTTCACCCCTATTGTTATCGGCCTTGTATTTTTGTCTCTCTCCAAACACCACATTGTAGCAACAAGACCAGCTCACACACCAACTTTGCTTCTTTCAGAGCAGCTGTGAAGAAAAAAGTTATTTTAAGGCTTCTCGTTGGTCAGTCTAACATGGGGTCACAAATCTACCATGCGATAGGAAGAGTACTTTCATAGCGTAGCTGTAACATGGCATTAAAGGTTACTTGGATACTTTGCCTACTTCTCTACCATATTTGTTTTTCAACAAATAGATGTTTAAATTTTCAGGCCTTGTACTTTCTTAAGTGAAACATTAATATTAAAGCCAACCTTGTAGTTAAGTTATTCATATTTACTCTAAATTCGTGCGGCGGGAAGGGAAACTGTTTGCAAAAACCAGGAGGGAAGAAAAAGATGAGGGGGG